AAGAACAGGGAGAAAGAAAATAAACGGAAAAAGCTCTGGTTAATGTCAGTTGTATGTCCTTCGCACAGAATACAATTACACGAGGGCTAGAATCACATCTGCCTTGCATTGTATCCCTAGTACTTAGCATCTGGCATCTAATGACACTCAGTAAGTGTTTAAGTGAATAAATGAATACAAGACAATGAGAGCTAAAGTAGGAACTAAGTCGTAGTTATATGAACAGCACATTAAACATTTGGCAAATACGTATTGAATGCCTACTATGTGACAGACTGGGAGAGCCTGAGGATACCATAGTGAACAAGGACAAATCCCCACCCTCAGGGAGCTGATTCCCATTATTACTTCCATTATTGAGGAAGACAACAAACAAAACAAAATCAAGACAAATTAATAAATAATTTAAAAGCAATAAACAGGGTGAAGTGATATAGAGAATAACTTGGTGATGGGGCAGTGGAGATGGGGCAGCAGAGCTATTGACCTGATTCTCCTTTAGCTCAAACCAACCCCACACCCAAGAGTAAAAATTGAGCTTTTGGGGAGAAGAAGGACAGAAGCAGTGTAAGTTTAAATGTCAAAAGTCACATGAAGAACGCAAACACAGAATTGTAGCTGATGCTGACAGAATCATCATGCAGGCACAGTGATATTGCATGTGGATAGCTGTGGTTAAAACACCTTGGTTGTTTCATTTCTGAAGTTAAGCTCCACAGACATATTTTGTTTAAAGTTCTTTTCGTCTTCTCAAAAGTTATATGCAATAGAGTATGTAAGTTGCTTTAATGTTAGTTGAGTTCTTTCTGTATATGCAGCGTTGAAATGTCAAGTGTGTTGATCCTTCAAGAAGTTGCATTTCACTTAACAGAGAAAATAAAAATGTCCCATTTCTCCCTAGAAAAAAGATAACATTTTCTAATTGTGCAAACACTTTATGAAAGTATCATTTGACTCTATATTTTGACAGCTGCTTTGCATTTATTATTGGAGAGGCTCTTCATACGGCATGTTCCTTTTTTTCTTTTCTAGTCAAAGGGTGTTAATATTATTTTGGAATTTTTCATATTTAAGAATGATAAAGGGCCTCTCTTCAGGGGTTCTTAATAAACAAACCCCTAACTTCTAGCCCATTTCTGGAAAAATGAAAGGTTTTTGAAAAAAAAGAAAGATGATTTTAGATTATGAGCTCCTTGCTTTGTGAATCAGTACTATTTAGCATAGTAACACAAAAACTTTGCATTTATTCTGATATTTAGTAGGTGCTCAGGAAATGTTTGGTGAGTTGAACTGGTTTGGGAAGAGGCAGGGGATTGTTATCTTCATTATACGGATGGGGAAACTGAGGCCCAAAGAACTTGTAGGTGCATTTGTATTGTGCTTTCTAGCCAAGTTAGCACATTTAAAAGTTGGTTCTCACCACCATTATATGTAAAGTAGGAAAACAGAAGAGAAGTGACATGTTTGACAGATGTATGATCAATTAGTCACTACTAGACTTCCCTATATACAATGAATTAATCTCTGCTGCTGAAGGAAATCTAAAACCTAATGATTAAAAAATTTAGGTTCTTAGACAATGGTGGGATTGAAGATTATTCTTTTAAGGACAAAAAACAACCAGAAAATCTATTGGCAATCTTTGGACTAACAAATGTCCTATCATATACAGAAAAAAAGGCTCTCTGACACTATCGGCAGTAGTATGAGTTGGTCCTACTTTTATGGAGGATTTATGAATATCTACCAAAATTAAAATGCACATAACTTTGACCTAGCTTTGACCCAGCAATTTAACTTTATGAATATATTCATACTGTAGACATACTGGCACGAGAGTGCAGAGATGCATGAGGAAAAGGATTTAATGGATATATGAATGTTCACTGTGACATTGTTAGTAATAAAAGAAAATTTGAAATGCTCAAATGTTCATCAGTAAATTGCTGGTTACACAAATTATGGGTTATCTGGGCAGTGATATTTTATGTAGACATCTAAAATATATTAATCTATGTATTGACATGAAAAGATGACCACAATAAAACAAGTCAAAAGCAAGCTGCTTAATAGCATGATTTCCTTTGAGTAAAAATACTCAACAAAGTATTAGTAACAGCTACCTCTAGAAAATGAGGTGGGCTATCTTTTTCACTTTATTCATTTGCATAGTACTTGATTTTTTAATGACAATAGAGTCTTTTAAAATTCAAAAATTAAAAAGAAGCTATTTAGTTCTGGCCATATGAGAACTTTGCTGTTCTTGCTTTTATTAATAAAATCAAGGGTAAGTGGAACCCAGGAAATGGTTAGCTATTGCCCCCCTGCACCACAGTGCCTAGCACGGTGCCTGCCACATTGTTGGTGCTCAATCAGTATTATGAGGGAATGAGTAAGGATGGCTAACCCTGGTCGCTCTTTAGTAAAGTGAGATGGAGGGACATAAGAACATGCAGGTTTTCTAACCCTCAAATCTGAGTCGGTGAGTCAACAAAGAAGTGTTTACGATGACCCCACTGACAGGGCTGATTTGTGCTAAAGAAGGACAGGCTACATAAAGGTCAATTCACCAAAACATAGTTTGAGGGTTCTATTTGCATTGGAAAAGCATTCTTACTGAGTGCTCCCCGCCATGTTTCTTTAAGTGTTTCTTAAGGCATTTACCTGTTGGTCTAGAGGTCACAGAATCATAAGGAGGGAATTTCAGAGTGCTCAACTGGTCCGGTCATTTCAGACACTGGACCTCCTCAGGAACATTCCCATCGTGAGTTCAGATTGATCAAAACCTGCTAGGACAGTGCTTCCATTTTCTCCTGGGGAATTCTTTACCCATCAGCTCTAACCACCAGAAAGCTCCTTATGGCACTAAACTAGAACCAGTCTCTTTATAAAATTAACTAAGGACTATGAATCTAAGAAGCTCTGCTCAGCGGTTTAGAGAAAAGGCTTTGGAATCAGAGACCTGCTTTGAACAGTGGCTTGTACATGCAGGTGCTGTGTGACTCTCAGGCAAAGATAACTAACTTTTTTTGAACCTAAGTTTATTCTTTTCAAAATGGGGATAATTGTAGCTCCTGCCTGATGGAGCAATTTTAAGAAGATCAGGAAATAATACATACAAACTGCTCATCAAAATGTATGGCATAAAATGCTTAATAAATAACATCATTGCAATTGTAGGTATCTGACAGAAACAGGAAGGAAAGTGGTGCAAAACAGTAGTTAAAAGATGAGGTGTCTCTGTCAGTGGACCATACACCTGAGGACCTTCATCTCGAGTCACTCAAGCATCTCCTCTGGTTTTCCTTGCTAGAAAAACACTCAAAGTAGGTGGAGGAAAATTTCATACCATTAATTTTGGCAACAAAGAAAAAGTTTGACTTTCACAATTATAGATACTAACTTATAAAAGTATTCCAGGTGTTTGAGAATCCACTTACTTCTGGGCGATGCAAGGAAACAGCCCCTTCTGTGGCTATTCTCGAAATTTGTCTCTCTGAAGCTTCCTAATATTCAAGTAGCTGTCAGGAGAAACACAAGTCCTCTCTAGCCATTCTGAAACTTTTCTCAGGGCTAATGACTACCTATCAGTATGGATTTGACTTTATATTGTTACTCAAGAAATAAATCATAAATCCTAGCTATAGTCAGGAATGTATGGGTGAGCGCAACGTATACACATATTCATCATATATATCTGTCTTATACCATATGAAATTCAGTAGACCACGAGACTCAGGATCTAAGTCTAATTTTGACCCAGCCATTAACTCACTGTCTGGATTCCTATACATACTCACGTATAAAACGGTTACAATTGATGGTTCTTACACTGTATTCTAGGAGCTCTAGGTTTGCACAGCAGTGTTGGGGGCTGCTTTAGTTGGGCTCCAGGCCTCCATCTTATCTCAAGCAGAGAAATAATATTTAAAAAGACACTTCTCTTCTCATCAGTTCCTCTCAAAGGCTCCTTCTGGCAAGGGCAACCTAAGCAAGGCAAACTACTCCCTTCAGTTTAGAAAAATATGAGCTGCTGAAAGAAGCTGGTTGAAACAACATGACAAGGCAGTGCCCCTACCTGGTGAGGGTTTAGGGGTGCAGAAGGAGGAGGGTTTATAGGAGAAGAACAGTGGGGTTATGGAGGGGCCATGTTTGAGTGAAGAAGTGCCTTCTGAATCTCTGTGGAATGCACAGCTGTAGAGCCAGCTGCATCAACACAACCATGATGCCCTGCATGTTGGGCTGTTGACCTCCCTCTGTGGGAACAGCAGGGTGCTGGGGAAAGGAGATTGGACTTGGAATCGGAAGACTTAGGTGTGAGTCTCAGTCCCAGGATAGGGTGCTTCATCTCTCTGAATTGGTATTTCCCCAACTGAAAAACAAGAATAAAAATACGCACTAGATCAGCCTTACAGGCGTGTTGTACGGTTTAAATAAAATGAGGCCTGAAAAGCATTTTGTAAATTTGAAAGCCCCGTAGAGATGTAAGATGTATTTGGTAGCCCGTAAGATAGATGTCTAAATGTTACCCTTAAACCCCAAAACACTTGCTAAGATCACTTTCCTAAAATATGAGTATAAAAGTTTAGTAAATTATCAAATAAATGAAGTGTTTCACTATGTTCACATAATTTTTCAATGTATCAATTATAAAAACCATCATTGATACCACATGAAGAACTACATATAAAATTACAAAGATATAATTATATATGAAAAAGTATATATATAATAAAATCAAATTATATGTGATTTCAAAAAATGACTATTCTTAAAGAACTACTGTAGTGGTAATTGCTCTTTTAAATGTATACAGTAATATCAAAAAGTTTTACAAAAATACCCTAAATCCAGAGTCTATTTCACACTTTAAGCAGTGCATGTTGTACTCCTATTTTAGACGGTTGCATCTCAGAGTTGGGTGTTATATGTCTCTGCTTGTCATCAACGTAGACTGAGATGCCAGAAGACCGTGGATCTCCGCTTCCTACAGAAAACCATCAACATTTCTGGTCGGGAGGTTCTCTAGAGCAATCCTCTTCATTCCCCTCTGAGCAAGACAGATTCAGGACACTCATCACGGGATGGATCCAGGATGTAGTCTGTGTTACATGACTTGAGAAGAACAAGGAATACAATTAGAATCTGAAAGATTGTCTTTCTACCCATCCATGCAAGTACTGATCCTGGTGACACTGTTTCCACCCTACTGCAGTCCCTGTGATAGGAAGCAGTTAGAACTGGATTCGATAGTTGTGACAAATCTTAGATTTGTCTTAAGGTTCAATGAAAACCATTTCTCTCTCTCTTCTTTGGTAAAAAGGAATGCAAGCGAATGCATCTTTGACTCCTGTCTCTTCCTCACCTGATATTCAGTCAGTCAGCAAGTCCTGTGATTTTCCAGCTGTGACATCTCTGGACTCAGTGTCTCCCTCTCCTTTTTCAATGCACCACATAGCATGGGTCGCTGAAATAGTTTGTCTCCCTGCTTCTGTTCTAGTTCTTTTCTAATTTGTCCTCCGCTCTAGCCAAGAGAACCTTCTAAATGACAAATCATACACTATTACTTACCTGCTAAAAATTCAGTGCCAACCAATGCCTTCTGGATCAAATACACACTCTACAGTATGAAATACCTTGGTTTTCTCCCTGCCTCAACAATATCTTCTTTGCCACAATCCTCCCTGAGGAGTTGACTCACACTAATTCTAAAGAACCAAATCTCCCTCAAGATTCCTCCAATCTGTGTCTATAGTCTCATCTCTTATTACACTATATTATGAATGCCTGTTTATTTTCAGGCTTTCTTACTACATATGAAGCTCCTTGAGGGCAGGAAATATGTTTCTTCTCTCTCAATTTATGGTGCCTGACATGTTCTCAGAACAAACAGCTAGTATCCTGAAAGATGTTTCAGGGAAAGAACACAAGCAGAGATGTGGAAGGAAGTACAACAGTTATTGGGCATGTCTACGGAGTGGTGAAACAACATCACAAGATCGTGCTCCTACCTGGTGGATGGTGTTTCTCACACCTAGTGTCCTGCTCCCAGCCTTCAGCTGGATGAGTCTCCTAAATCCACCACCATCCTAAGTGCCGGATATATAGCTTCTGGAACTAGGGTGAAGATTTGTTTCTTCTCCTTGAATACTCTTTCTAGCCCTGGTTCACCCCACTGCCCTCATTCACACTTGATCAGTTTCCCCAGCCTCTTTCCTACCCAAACTCAACCTGAGAAGCAGCATCCTGTCTTAGATCAAGTGTATCTGTAGGTCAGAACTTCCGGAGGTCACATAAAATTGTGGATCTGAAAGAACCTCCTACATTATGACGTAACACTTTTCCAAAGTGTGTTCCCAAAAGCTTTTCACAAATTTTATGTGAAGAATAGAATTAAATGGTCAAATAAGTTTGAGATTCACTAGATCAAACATAGTTAAATAGGTTTCTTTACTGTGGGATTTCTGAGAGCTTTTAATATTCTAGCATGCTCAATGAGTCTCCAAGGGTATGCAATTACCCAAACTAACATATCCCTGTTAACATACATGGGGCTAGTGTTCCGGAGAACCAATTTGGGAACTATCACAAAAATACATTCAGTTTGGCTTAATGGCAAACTGATTGGCTATTGATTACAATAACTGAAAATTTTGGACTTAGTACAAATGGTCAGTTCCATTGTCATTACTGGTTTGGGTTGTTTTCAGTCTTGTGCTCTAAATTTTGTTCATATGCCCCTACACAAATTGTTCAGCTCCTCTGTTTAAATATTAAAAATGCATCTTTCCATGGAAGATGATTACTAGTTGTTTCATGATGGGGTGAAAGAGTTCAAGTTGTTTAAGAATAAAGGTGAAAGTGACAAGGCCCAGACATCTTCATAGTTTTAAAACCTCAGTGTGTGGCTGAGTGGTAAAAAGAATCATTATTCTCTTGACAATAATCCACATTACTATTATCTCTTTAAAATGGTTTAATGGAATTTCTTATTATGGAGGCCAAATTTACCAGAGCATTTGATTTGGTACAGGTTAACTTCATTTCAAGGCCTTTATAAATCTGGAAAGCTGCCTAACTTGAAAGTGGTTTTAAAGAAATACTAATGAGTGTAACATAAGAAGGCTGGAATGCCACTGCAAGGTGAAATGAGGACACATTAAAGTATGTGTTTAAAACTAAATGGAAAAAGCTGCGTGAGACAGCTCTGCTTATTTTAAAATCTTGATGTATATATACTTTAATGTTTATCAGCACATTTATAATATATTAGTCCAAAGAAGAGACTGTAATTTAAATTATTTCAAATCCTCCCTCCCCTATAATGTTCCACAATTGGGAACGATGGGAAAAAGGAAAAACAAGAACAGTTACTTGAGAAATAAGTTCAGGTGCATGCTTTGCTATTTGACTTTTTATGAATATTCTCATGCTTGAAATATAACTGTCTATATATAGCCATTCCATTACATTTCTAATTTAAAATAATAAAAAACAAAAGTTCAAGAAAAAAATAGACTCTGAACAATAAGTATTAGAAAGTTCTACCAGAAAGTCATCCTTGTCAGTAACCTTCATTCATTAAGCACTTTTTAACAACAAATCAACATATGATCTTATTCCAAACATAAAAATAATATCATAAACTTCGATTAATCTTATAATTTGGTTAATATCATAGTCACACACACCCCTAAACACCAAACATGCAATTACAACAGCTACTTACTAGAAAAAGTAAAACTGAGCTAAGAGAGAGATGTGTTCTGTGCTTCAAGTACACATTTCAGATCTGGGTCTTGTTAGAAACATCCAGAAACAATGGGACACAGTGCTTCTGAAACTCAGGTAATACATGCAAAGTGCCTGGCAGACAGATAATAAATAATCATGGCTAGTTTTATTGATAATTAGGGCTTTCTGATTATTGTAAGAAAAACTTGGAATTCTTCCTATGATGCTGGGATGCAGCAATTTCTGTGTATACCATTCAATTTTATGTCCTAGTGAGCACTGTGGCTAAAGAGCTTTGACATAATCGGTATGATGAGATAATCCCAGATTTACTGGCTTGGAGAACATTTTAGTATTGAAAATATTTCCTCTCTGATTTGTGTGGTTGGTAATTCTAGGAGAGAGAATAAATCAGCCCTGTTGACTCTGTTTAATTAATAAAGACCCCATGGTTCATAAAGGGAGACGTTGCTACTTAGTATAAAAAATTTAGAGATCTGGAAAATAAATGAAGCTACGAAACATGAAAATCTTCCATTTGAACATACAGTACCTCTGGCAAATGTTCCTGCAGAGACAGTGCATATGACCTGATTTGGAAAGCAATCAACAGCAGTTCAGATATATTTGAAAATCTAGAAAGCATAATACTATTTGCCTCTGAATGGTTGCCAAATCTGTTGTTGGAAAACAATAATATTCGATCTGGGAAGATAACAGTATTCTGTGTTTTTAAAAATAATATTAGTAAATTGAAAGACATATTTTAGAGCTTACAAAAAAACTAAGAGAACATACTTTATTTTATTGGCAAAGAAATGTAAGTGAATTATTTAAATCCCATTATAATTACCCTCCTTATGTTTCTTACCTCCTAGCTAAAGGAGCAAAATGCTTTCTTTCAAAATAAAAATTTAGGACAGCCTGTTAAGCAAAAAGTGGTTTAAAGACAAAAAGTGCACTAGTTTTGTAGAAATTCATTCTTATAACCATCGGTGATGATGAAAGAGGTTCTTTTGTTAATCTTCCATTGTAGATGGTACTATTTATATATCCTTGCAAATTCAGCAAGATTTGCATGCACTATTTTATTATGTTTAAGATAACACTGCAGAGTGATGAGCCCAAAGTAATTTAACTTCCAGTGTAATGTTTTTTGGAGGGGGGAATAATCTTATGTATATAGTATTCATATGAATGAGAAAACAAAGACAAATAAGTAAATAATATGTTAACATAATTTGTTTCAGGCATCAGTAACTTTGAATCACTGGAAAATTTTATAACTGGCCATAAACTGCAAGTAGTAATGGCAATAAAAGATTTGTACTTAAAATAATCCCAACTGATGAGGCAAAGACATAAAATGTAACCAAAATGTTTGTACCCTCATAATACCCTGAAATAAAAAAAAAAAAAAAGAAAAAAAAGAAATAAATACAAAATAAAATAGCCCTCCCAGCAGGGGGAAAAAAAAAATCCCAACTGAAAACAAATTAATAGAATGTAAGAACACAAAGCAAAACATGTCAATAAAATTACAAAACAGTATTCAAATCGTGATAAGGCAGCATGTAATCTTGTCACAAACACTGGTTATGAGAATGACTACAGATTAGTAATATGAAGTATCCACTCTAAAATATGTTTAAGAGAAAATTACAGGCATTTTGTCTCCACTGATATATAAAGAGTCCTCTCTTACATAATTTTGGAAATATGCCCCTAAAATCAACATGACTATGTCCCATTAATGAACTCTGTAAATATCACAGAATACTTTGAGCACTTTATAATAAGGCATTTGGAAATCCAGTGAGGCTCTGATCGAATATTAGGAGGATCTCATCTAAATGTCTAGTCTTGAGGACAAATTTTGTTTTTATTACATGTTTATGGCACTTTCTATAAAAAAATTAGATATCTTTTGAAATCTTAAAAATCCAATTAATTAAAAAATCTTTAGGTCTCAGATATCAAATAACATTACAAGAATCTAAAGCTACAGTAACATATTACTTATGCATAATATTGGGAAAAATTGCTGTTACTAGACTTATAAAAGATGAACACTAAAAATTCCTGAGGAAAAAGTATGGAAAATATGAGTTATATTTTTTCAAATAATATATACAGGCCTGGATTGCTGTTGATTAGTGTATGCTGCTAAAATGTGCCATGTCCAAAGCTGATATAATTAATTTTTCAAAGAAAGAAACGGCTCTGTAGTCACAGATATAGCCCTGGGTAACTTAAAAATTGATGCTGGTTTTGATCATGATAGGACAAAAAAATACAGAAAAAAACAAAGAACTACTGACACTGATACCTATACAATGAACTAGTAGGTACTAATAAACAATTATTAAATATATATGATT